TAAAACAAACAACAACAGATGCTGGCAAGGATGTGGAGAAAAAGGAATGCTTCTACACTGCTGGTGGGAATGCAAACTAGTGCAACCTCTTTGGAAGGCAGTGTGGTGATTTCTGAAAGAACTAGAAATTGACCTTCCATATGACCCAGCAATTCCTCTTTTGGGAATACACCCGGAAGAACTCAAATAATTCTACAAAATATACCTGCACACGTATGTTTGTTCCATCTCTATTCACAATAGCAAAAACATGGAACCCACCATGTGGCCCATTGAAGCTGTACTGGATTAAAAAATGTGGTACATATACACAGTGGAATATTATGCAGCCATAAAGAAGGACAAACACATGGACTTTGCAGCAACTTGGATGAATTTAGAGTCTATCATACACAGTGATCTATCACAGAAACCAAGAACAGAGTACCATATGTTTTCACTCATAAGCGAACCTTGAACAATTATTATAATACTATAAGAAATGGATTTTACGTAGTTGGAAACTGTCATGGGAGGGGGGTGCAATTGGCAGTTGAGGGAAACTGCTAGTGGAGGCAGGGGCATACCTCATCAAGAAGGGTACCTACATAATCAACCTTTATATACCTAACCCTGAATTGTAACCCACACCTTTATAATTAAAAAATTAAAAAGAAATGTTCATCCTACCTAAGGTAATATACAGATTCAGCACAATACCCGTTAAATTACCAACATCATCCTTTTCAGACCTGAAATAACAATACAGAAATTCATATGGAAACAAACTACCATGAATAGCTAAAACAATTCTTAGCAAAAGAAATAAATCAGGAGGTATCACACTTCTGGAACTGAAAATTTACTATAAGTCTACTATAATCAAAATAGCCTGGTATTGATACAAGAACAGGCATATGAACCAATGGGACAGGATAGAGATTCTGGCAGTAAAACTTCAATTTCTTAACCAACTCATCTTTGACAAAGCCTCCACCAACAACCACTGGGGAGAGGAGAACCTATTCAGTAAACGGTGCTGGGAAAACTGGCTGATCACATGCAGAAGATTGAAACAGGACCCCTACCTCTCACCATGCACAAAAATTAACTAAATGGATCAATGACCTAAACATAAAACCTTAAACTATAAGAGCCTTAGAAAATGCAGGAGACACCCTTATTGTAATTGGAACTGGCAATCAATTCCTGATCAAAACCCCAAGTGCCCATGTCATAAGAGATAATATAGACAAGTGGGAACTCAACAAACTGAAAATCTCCTTCAAAGCAAAAGAAACCATCAAGAGAGTGAGGAGACAGCCCAAAGAATGGGAAAAAATATTTGCCAACTGTATATCTGGGAAAGGGCTAACATCCAGGATCTATAAGGAACTCAAACATGCTAAAAGGAAAAAAACAAACAGCCCCATTAAAAAGTGGGCAAAAGACATGAACAGACACTTCTCAAATGTAGATATACAGGCAGCCAACAGACACATGAAAAAGTGCCCAGCTTCACTAAACATCAGAGAAATGCAAATCAAAACCACACTGAGATACCACCTAGCTCCAGTCAGGATGGCCAACGTCAATAACGCAAAGAACTACAGATGCTGGAGAGGATGTGGGGATGAGAAAACACTTCTACACGGTTGGTGGGAATGTAAACTAGTACAACTTCTGTGGAAAACAGCGCGGCATTTCCTAAGAGGTCTAAAAATTGACCTTCCATATAACCCAGCAATCCCCCTTCTGGGAATATACCTGGAGGAACTAAAATCACTCTATGAAAAAGATACCTGCACACACATGTTTATTGCCCCATTTTCACACTAGCAAAAACATGGAGCCAACCATGCTGCCCATCAAAACTGGACTGGATAAAAAAAGGTGGTACACATACACAATGAAATATTATGCAGCCATAGAGAAGGACAAAAGTATGAACTTCGCAGCAACTTGAATGGATTTAGAGCAGGGGTCCTCAAACTTTTAAAACAGGGGGTCAGTTCACTGTCCCTCAGACCGTTGGAGGGGCGGACTATAGTTTAAAAAAAAACTATGAACAAATTCCTATGCACACTGCACATATTTTGAAGTGAAAAAACAAAACGGGAACAAATACGATATTAAAATGAAGAACAAGTAAAGTTAAATCAACAAACTTACCAGTATTTCAATGGGAACTATGGGCCTGCTTTTGGCTAATGAGATGGTCAATGTCCGGTTCCATATTTGTCACTGCTAGTTGTAAGACTGAGAGGAGAAGTCGAGAGACAGAGAGAGGGAGGGGAGTCGGAGAGTGCGACGCACATTCCACACATGCGCACTGCTGGCGGGTACAAGTAGGCTGCTAGGCAAGACAGGCAACGGGGGGATAAATGCCCTCGGTGGGCCGCATGTGGCCCGCGGGCCGTAGTTTGAGGACCCCTGATTTAGAGTCTGTCATACTCTGTGATCTATCACAGAAACTAAGAACAGAGTACCATATGTTCTCACTCATAAGCAGACCCTGAACAATTATCATAATTCTATAAGAAAGGGATTCACGATAGTGGGAAACTGCCAATTGGGGCGTGGGGGAGGCACGCTTCATCAATACCTGTACCTGATCTCAAACCAGGCAAAGGAGAGACCAACGGGAGGCCCAAACTTTACCTGTAGGATGACCACTTGTATATCTAATCCTGAATTTTACCCCACATCTTTTGATTGTTTGTTATATTTTGAATCAGAGTTTCACTCTGTCTCCCAGGCTGGTGTGCAATGGCACACTCACGGCCACGCCAGTGACGACCCACTGGGCTCAAGTCATCTTTCCACCTCAGTCTCCCAAGTAGCCAGAACTACAAGCATGTGCTACCATGCCTGGGTAATTTTTGATATATTGTAGAGACAGGTCTCACCAAGTTGCTCAGGCTGATCTCGAACCCCTGGGCTCAGGCAATCTTCTCGCCTCAGCCTCCCAAAGTGCTGGAATTACAGGCTTGAGCCACCGCTCCCAGCCTTACCCCACATGTTTAAAATAAAATTTTAAAAAGAAAATGCAAATATATAAATGGATGTGGTTTAAAGACATCGAGTTTGTAGTAATATCTTATACAGTAATAGAAAATTAATACACAGGCTCAACAGATAACCACACATTTTCTTCACTGCAATGAATCTGTGAACTGATACACACAATTCATGATATGCATGAAATAAAATCTTTTCTGCATTGGCAGTAGTGGGATACTGCCTGGGTGGGGGTGGAGACACAACATCAATAAGGGTACCTGAGCTCAAACCAGGCAAAGTGGGGACCGAAGGGAGGCCCAAACTTTACCTGTACGATGATGTCCACTTGTTTAACTAATCCTGGATTGTACCTCACATCTTTAAAATAAAATATATATAAAAGAAATAAAATCTTTCCTAACATTTTTGGTGCTTTTTCATTTATAATTTTATGTGATGCAATTAAATTTTAATACAATATTTTATTCCTTCATTGAACAAAAATTAATTTAATGCCTACTATGGACAAGGTATGACTTTATATGCCACAAATACAACTTAGATCAAAACAGCGCAAAGTTCCTGTGCTCATGTGCCTTACATTCTAGAGGATCTGCAAGAGAGACATGGAGCCACTGAAGCACTATAAGTCAAAAAAGTGACATGACTTGATTCACATTAGCAGGACTGTTGACCACTGTGAGAAAAATAGTCATGAGTAGCAAGTGAGGGGTCAGCACTAATGTCACAATTCAGTAGGGACAGGGTTATGGGGACTAAGAAAAGAAGAGGGCCTGAGGGATGGGAGGGAAAGAGAAAAGGGCTGGAAACGCAGGAGGTAAAGTAAAAGAACAGAGGGGGAAAATTCTAAAGCAGTGGAATTCTCAGATTTACACAGTGTTTTGTACGTTTTTCATACACCTGTCTACAGAACCTAGTAGGGTATCCTTTGCATTTATTAGTTAATACATTTGTGAACTGCCTAAAAACAAATGTCCTTATGTCAATCAGTTTCCAAAAAATACCAGGTGTCCCCATGAAATACCCCCATACCTCAGATGTGAGTCATTCATAAAGACCAGCAGTGCAGAAGCACAAGCAAAAGGCATTTTGACTGCATTGAGCACTTGCAATTCTGAGGTGATTCGAGTCTGTGCAGGCTCCTGATTGCAACATACAGTAACAAATCGTGCTTCTTTGTATCTATATGTCCTGGGCTAACACACAGAAACTCAGGGCTATGGAATAAAGATAAATTTAAAATACAAAATCCCAGAGTCACAGATACATAGACTAGGAAAATAAACTTGGGAACTTTGCCAGTGTGATTGCAATGCTGTTTAGACACATTTACCTATGAAGGGGCCAAAGCCACCTCTTTTTACTGATTAGAGTCCTGGCCTCTCAGTGGTTACCAATATTGTTCCACCCTCTGTAGTTAGTAAACAAAAGGGAAACTGGTTTCTAGGAGACTCTTTCGGGTGCCTTCAGACACAACTTCTCCAGGTTTAAAGAGAAAACTCCTGTCTCTACACCTCCATTACCAAGGGAGCTCACTCTCTGGCATCAGGCTTTCTGTGAGTTTTTTTCTGAGTCCTGAGAGAGAGATGGTGAACGGGAGGAAGGGAGTCAGTTCAGGGAGAAGGATTTCAGGAGGAGAAGTGAAGAGAAATGGGCTGGGCCCAGTCTGGGGGTTTCTTCCTGGTTTTCACAGACAGATCCTGCGTCAGGACTCGGGGAAACAGTGTGACAAAGAGCGCTCGGTGCAGGAGGAGAAGGATCAGGGCAAATCCCAGGTCCCTGGGCATGGCTCTCAAGGTCCCATCCCCTGAGTTTCACTTCTCGCCCAACCTGTGTCGGGTCCTTCCTCCTGGATACTCATGACGCGCCCCAACTTCTCATTCTCACTGGGTGTCGGGTTTGAAGTGAAGCCAATCAGCGTTGCCGCGGTTCCCGGCCCTGAAGTCCTCAGGGACCCACAGGAACCCAGAGTCTCCCCAGATCCTGATGATGGGGTCATGGAGCCCCGAGCCCTTCTCCTACTGCTCTCAGGGGCCCAGGCCCTCACGGAGACCCGGGAGGGTGAGTGCGAGGTCGGGAGGGAAAGGGCCTCTGCGGGAAGGAGCGAGGGGCCAGCCCAGCGAGGGCGTAGGACCCGGGGTAGCCTCGTCTCAGTCGCCCCCGGCCCTTTCCCTCCCCTCCTCTCCCTTTCCCTCTGCCCCTTTCCACCTCACAAGCACTCTCGCCCCCTCCTCCCCTCCTGCCCATCAACCTCGGAACTGGGGATCTGCGTCTGGAGGAGGGTCGGGCCGCGTCTCAGCCCCTCCCTCCCCCCAGGATCCCACTCCCTAAGGTATTTCTACACCGCCGTGTCCCCACCCGGCCACGGAGAGCCCTGGTACACCTCTGTCCGCTACGTAGACAACACTCGGTGCGGTTCGATAGCGACGCTGCGAACCCGAGATGGGAGCCGCGGGCGCAGCGGGTGGAGCAGGAGGGGCAGGAGTATTGGGATCCGAACACACGGATCTGCAAGGAGCAAGCACAGAGAGCCGAGGGAACTTGCGGAGCCTGCCTGGCTACTACAACCAGAGCGAGGCCGGTGAGTGACCCCGGGCCAGGGTCACAGGTCACGACCTTTCCCATCCCCTACGGACTGCCTGAGTCGTCCGAGTCTCTGGGTCCGAGATTCACTCAGAGGCTGCGGGACTCTCAGAGACCCGCGACCTGGGAAGAGCCTCAGGCGACTTTGGTTTCAGTTTTGGTTTAGACCAAAATCCTCGTGGGCTGGTCAGGACGGGGAAGGGACAGAGTGGGCGGGGCTGACCGCGGGGGCGGGGCCAGGGCCTCACACCCTCCAGGTGATGTATAGCTGCGACGTGGGGCCGGACGGGCGCCTTCTCCGTGGGTACACACAGTTCGCCTACGATGGCGCGGATTACCTTGCCCTGAACGAGGAAATGCGCTCCTGGATAGCGACGGACACGGCCGACTCAGATCTCGAAGCTCAAGTTAGAAGAGAGTGGTGTCACGGATCACACCAGGGCCTACCTGGAGGGCAGGTGTGTGGAGTCCCTCAGCAGACACCTGGAGAACGGGAAGGAGTCACTGCAGCGTGCGTGTACCTGGGACCACGGGGGCACCTCCTCAATCTCCTGCAGATCTGCCGGGCTTGACCTCCACAGGGAGGGGAGGAAAATGGGGTCAATGCTAGACTATCGCCCTCCCCGTGGTCCAAACAGGAAGAATCCTCCTGGGTATCCAAATCCTGTTCCAGAGAGTGACTCTAAGGCCCACCCTTCTCCTTGGGACAATAAGATATGGAGTCTCTCAGTGAAGAGAGAGGAAGACAATCCATGAAAGGTGGATCAGCGGTTCCCTTTGACCCCTGCAGCAACCTTGGGCACCTTAACTTTAACTTTCTCTCAGGCCTTGTTTTCTACCTCACACTCAGAGTGTTTGGAGGTCTGACTCCAGCTCCCCAGAGTCACTTGAACTCCACTCAGGTCAGGACCAGAAGTCCCTGTTCTCCCCTCAAAGACTAGAATTTTCCAAGGAATAGATTATTCCAGTTGCCTGTGTCAGGCTGGTGTGTGAGCTTTATGCTCCCTCTCCAACCCCCACTTGTCTTGTCATTCTCAGGATGGTCACCTGGGTGCTGCTGGAGTGTCCCATGAGGAATGCAAAGTGCCTGAATTTTCTGACTCTTATTCAGATCCCCCAAAGACACATGTGACTTGCCACCCCAGCCCTGATGGGGATGTCACCCTGAGGTGCTGGGCCCTGGGCTTCTACCCTGCGAAGATCACACTAACCTGGCAACAGGATGGGGAGGGCCAAACTCAGGACATGGAGCTTGTGGAGACCAGGCCTTCAGGGGATGGAACCTTCCAGAAGTGGGCAGCTGTGGTGGTGCCTTCTGGAAAGGAGCAGAGATACACGTGCCATGTGCAGCATGAGGGACAGCCAGAGCCCCACACCCTGAGATGGGGTAAGGAGGAGGATGAGAAGTCAAGTCACTTCTCAGGGAAAGCAGGAACCCTTCTGGAGATTTTCAGCAGGGTCAGAGCTGAGGCCTGGGGGTCAGGGCCCCTCACCTTCCTTTCCTTTCCCAGAGCCATCTTCCCAGATCGCTATCCTCCTCATGGGAATCTTTGCTGACCTGGTTTTCCTTGGAGCTGTGGTCACTGGAGCTGTGATGTGGATTAAGAAGAGCTCAGGTAGGAAAGGGGTGAGGAGTGGCATCTGGGTTTTCTTGTCCCACTGAGAATTTCAAGTTTTAGGTAGATGTGTGTCTTGCCTCCTTACTGGGAAGTATCTACCACACATAGGTGCTTATCCTGCCTGGGGCCCTGTGTGACAACACTTACCTACTCTTTTGCATAGAATATATGGAAATAAAAGAAAGATGTTTCACTTTTTTGGCTGTGGTGATGGGGACCTGATTCCCAATAGTCACAGGTTGCAGGGAATGTCTCTGCTCAGAGCAGACCTCCAGGGGGCAGTTGGTTCAGTTCCTACACATTTCCTTTCCTCTTGTTTCTTGATTTTTGCCCTGGGTCAGTTTGGGAAAATTATCTGGGGTCCAAGATTAGGGGTTCCTCTAGAAACATGGCCCTGTCTCCTCCCTGGCCTCTCACTGAACATTTTCTTTCCACAGAAAATGGAGGGAGCTACTCTCAGGCTGCAAGTAAGTATGGTGGCCATGATCCCTCAGATTCTTGGAATAGTGTAGATAGGAGCCCATGAGGGAGCTCACCCACCCCATAATTCCTCTTGTACAACATCTCCTGTGGACTCTGACCAGGTCCTGCTTTGTTCCACCCCAGGTGGTGACACTGTCCAGGGCACTGATATGTCTCTCAGCTTGTAATGTGACCCTGGGAGGCCTAATGTGGTGGGGGAGGGAGTAGGACTGAGGGGACACTACTGGGCTATGCAGATTTAAGGGACATTTTGAGTGTGTGGTGGATTGTTCAGCAGTTCACCACTCACCATGACTGACCTGCATTTGTTCTTGACTTTCCTTCTGTAGCGTGACACAGCTGCCTTTTGTGGGACTGAGACATTGATTTGTTCATGACTCCCCTCTGTGGCTTCAAGAGCCTCTGACTTCTTTTTCTACAAAGGACATTTGAATGTGTCTGCATTCCTGTTAAGATCATGTGACGGTGTGGGGAGATCATCAACCCACCCTCTTGTCCACATTGACTCCCTTCCCCACCCTAACCTGTGTGCCTCCCCTGATCATCTTTCCTGTCCCGGAGAGGTGGGACTAGGATGTCTCCATCCCTATCTCTATGTCATGATGTACTGAGCTGCAACTTTTTACTTCCCTAATGAAAATAAGAATCCAGCCAGGCTCGGTGGCTCAGCTTGTAATCCCGCGCTTTGGGAGGCCAAGGTGAGTCAATTGCCTGAGCTCGCGGATTCGAGACCTGCCTGGGCAACTTGGCGAGACCTCATCCCTACAATAAATAAAAAAAATTAGCCAGGCGTGGTAGTATGCGCCTGTAGTTCCAGTTACTTGGAAGGCTGAGGCGGAAGGATGCCGGGGCCCAGCAGGTCGAGGCTGCAGTGACCAGGAGCGTGCCACTGCACTCCAGTCTAGGCGACAGAGTGAGACTCCAACTCAAAAAAAAAGAAAAGAAAAGAAGAATCCAAATATAAATTTGTGTTTTAAATTCTTGCCATGAGAGGTTGATGAGCTAATTAAAGAAGAAGATTTCTAAAATAAGAGCGGAAGTAAGTAGAAGATCAGAGAACCTTCTAGAATCCACATATTTGTTGAACTGAGTCTGTTGCAGGTGGGGAAGGGGAAGGCTGTGAGGAGACAAGTGTGGATGGGGCCTGTGCCCAGTCGATACTTAGTTTATTATGCATTTTGATGTGGTCATTCCTCAGCTGTGTCATCTTCACTGCTTCCTTGTCCCTATTCCTTTAGTAGAACCTTTTCCCAGGAGGACTTGTGACCACAGAGACTCAGACATCACCCAGGATGGCCCCTGTACAAATGTATCTGTGTGGTATCAAGAGACAAATTTTCAGACCCATCCAGGTCTTGCCATCCTTCTAGGGCTCTTGCTTGCATTATATTTTTCTCATCTTTTCTTCTACCTTTTTAGTATTTTATTTTGTATTTCTTTTTAATTTTTATGGATACGTAATAGTTGTACATATTTGTGGGTGCAGGTGATATCTAATACAAGCACATGATGTGCAATGATCAAATGTGGGTAATCTGGATATCCATCACCTCAAATATTTATTATTTATTTTTGTTGGGAACATTCCAAATCTTCTCATGTGGCTACTTTGAAACATGCAATAAATAATTGCTAACTATAGTTGCCCTATTGTACACCCTATTATACTAGGTCTTATTCCTTCTCTCTAACAGTGATGTTGTACTCATTAATCCATTTCACTTAACATAATATCCTCCAGTTCCATCTGTGTTGCTGTGTCCAACCTTTTTAGAGGAACCAACTTCTGAAATTAGCACAGAGGAAAGATCCCATAGTTACCATCTTAGATAAATCTGTGTTGGAATTCCTCTTCTGCTCTGCTCTCCTATCCCTTCTCCATGCCCTTAGTTCTATTAAATCCAGTGTTGGCTCCATTCCAAACTCATGGGTTTATAAAATCAAGTCTCATTTAGATTTATGTATGTCTGGAATATTGGACCCATATTCAAGGATTGTTCTTTCCTGAGAAAGAATTATAATTGTGAGTTGCTGTGTGCAGGAAGGTTCGGCTAGGAGAATGTATGGAGAGAGGGTATAAGAAACAAAATGGTGATTCATTTTCAAAATGGTAATTTGTTACTTCACTTCCTGGTTCTTCCTCCTTTCTTAGTGGGCTTTCTCTTTTGGCAGGCTTCCTTTGCTGGGCACTGAGACCCAGTCAAAATTCAGAAACATATGTGTTACCTTATTTGTATAGAAATTGCTTTGCTTTACCTTATTTGTACAAAATTATTGCTTAGGCTATGTCCAGGAAAGTGATGTAATCTCTGAAGTACTCAGCCAGTGGGGAACCAGAGCATGAACTTGCACTTTAGAAGTATAAATACACTGAATGTAACTGCCTCGGTATGCCTGCCCAATCTCTGAATCTCCGTGTTGTGCTTGGATGACAAAACTGAGGAGGGTCGATTCCACCTCCCACAGCCATGGGGACTCATCCAGGAGACTTGCGACTGTGGGGCCAGACCCCCATCAGAGGGAGAGATGTGTCCCACCCAGTTTTAGGTGGCTCATTCTGGCTGGGCAATCCTGTCTCCCACTGCCCTGCAGATAAACCTGAGACTCAGAGGTGGAGACACTGAACAGGCAACCCGGTTACCTTGTGCACAAGCCAAGGTAAGAAAATTGGAATATAAGTACTGCCTTGGGAGTCGGAGAAATTCTTGGAGGTTGAGTGTGTGTGGCTGAGACATATCTCAAGATACAAAGTGAGTCCTAATATTTGCAAGAAACCTCCAGTAAGGGGGGTTGAGCACTTTAGGGTCCTAACACTTACAAGAAACCTCCAGTAAGGGAGGTTGAGCACTTTAGGAGGAACTCAGAGACTACACAGCTCACCTGGTAACCAAGAATCAGTCTAGGCCTAGGAAGGGAGGTCAAGAGGACCCTCTTGAAATTCCCCCAGATAGTCTATCAGGGTGACTATTAAAGAGTTGGAATAATGATTCCAAAACTAAAGGAAAGGGAAAGAAGAAAATGATTGAATTTAGTTGCTTTATATGAACTAGGGAACCAATTCGCCAGCCGTCAATGTTTTGGCTAAAAGTTGGCTCCAATGAGAACTGTCTTTGTCAGACTTTAGTAATCTATGTAAACAATGAGCCCTCTGTTTCATCTGAGTAAAGGGATTATGTCCTGAGAACCCTGTCTATATGTCCCCTTCAAATGAGAAATGAGGAAGGGAAAACATCTGGGCCTCTAGAGGAGAAAAAGAAACCTTGGGATATGCTCTCCTGTATCTCCCCCCCGCTTAGAACTCCCAAGAAGACCAGAGATCTGGAGGGACAATGGGAAATGCAGATCTATCAGAAACTCAAGAATTGAGATCTCCAAGCCCTAAACTCCTGTATCCTAGTTTGAAAAGGGAATTGGAACAATGCAAAAGGAATATTTTAAATTCCATTTCCCCCTGGAAACCCAGATGAAGATTCAAAATTGTTCCCACTAAGGGTGGTTCCCTTGGGGCAGGGAGAAATTGACTTTGTTAATGCCTCCACTTACTAGTACAGAAGTAAGAAATTTTTTAAAAATAGAAGAAGTCATTATTAAATGATACTTAAGATTAACTGACCAAGTTGACCAGTTTCTTGGACCTAAAATACACACACACACACACACACACACACACACACACACGGGTAGAACTGATGTATATTATAAATATTCTATTCACTGGTGAAAAAAGGGGAATGATTCAAAGGGCTGCTATGTCTATCTGGGAATAAGAACATCCACCGGGCCCAGGAGTAAAACCAGCTGAACAGAAATATACAAACACAGACCTGAAGTGGGATAATAGTAACCCAGGAGATAGAGTTAAAATGCAAGATTTAAGAAAATTAATAATTAAAGGGATCAAAAAGTCAGTCCCGAGATCCCAAAATGTTTCAAAGACCTTTTAAATCCAGCGAGAAAAGGAGGAAACTCCAATGGCCTTTTTACAACAACTTAGAAATCAAATGAGAAAGTATTCAGGGTTAAACCAAAAAAATGCTTGTAGGACAGTGCCTTCTAAAGGTTAATATCATTAACAAATTTGCCCAGACATTGCAAAAAAGTTACAAAAGCTGTAGGGATGGAATGAAAGATTTATTGAGAAATTGTTAAGAGAAACACAAAAGGTATTTGTGAAAAGAAATATGGAAAAGCAAAAAAAAAAAAAAAATCTATAATCATTGTAAGCACTGTAGAAAGAGTAGTTGGAAAGAGAAATTTTAAAAAACCCCTAGGCAGACCTGGGTATCAAAAGAGACAGATTAAAGGAAGGCTTAATCCAAAAGGAACTATGAAAAGTGAATTTAATCAAAAGGGAGCTGGATGTTATCATCGTAAGAAGTAAGAAACCAGGGCATTTCAAGAGAGATTGTCCTGAACTGAAAAAAAAATAAAGTCTCCCTTATGGCACTAGATGTAGAATAGGGAAGTCAGGGGTTCCCCTTTTTCAGACCCCACCAGGAACCCTTGATAAATCTGAAGACAGGGCCTAATGAAGAGTACCATCTTCCTCGTTGATATTGGGGCAACTCACTCCTCCCTAATCTTCCAACCCTAAAATGTTTGATTACCAGAAAATCTTCTAGTCTCCAGAGTAAAAGGAGAAGGATTTCAATTTCCTATATTTGAACCTATGATTATAAAACTGAAACAATGACAAGGTCATTTTTATTTCTCCCAGAAGCAGGAATAAATCTCCTAGGTATACAACTGTATATCTAACAAAGGCCTAACATCTAGGATCGACAATTCAAACAGGCCAAAAGGAAAAAAACAAATAACCCCATTAAAAAGTAAGCAGAAGACATGATTAGACACTTCCCAAAAGAAGGTATATGGGCAGCCAAAGACTGAGTGCTCGGCCTCACTCATCATCAGAGAAATGCAAATCAAAACCACACTGAAATACCACCTAACCCCAGTAAGAATGATCATCATTAATAAACCAAACAACAACAGATGCTGGCGAGGATGGAGAGAAAAAGGAACACTTCTACACTTGCTGATGGGAATGCAAACTAATGCAACCTCTCTGTAAGGCAGTGTGGTGATTTCTGAAAGAACTAGAAATTGACCTTCCATATGACCCAGCAATCCCCCTCTTAGGAATATACCCAGAGGAACTCAAGTCATTCTACCAAAAAGATACCTACACACACACATTTGTTGCAGCTCTATTCACAATAGCAAAAACATGGAAACAAGCATGCTTCCCATCAAAGCTGGACTGGATTTTTGAAATGTGGTACATATACACAGCGGAATATTATGCAGCCATAAAGAAGGACAAACATGGACCTCACAGCAACTTGGATGGATTAGAGTCTATCATACTCAGTGATCTAGCACAGAAACAAAGAACAGAGTAACATATGTTTTCACTCATAAGCAGACCTTGAACAATTATCATAATACTACAAGAAAGCAATTGACAGTAGTGGGAAACTGCCAGGGGAGGGGGGCAGGATTGGCAGTTAAGGGAAACTGCTAGGAGAGAGAGGGGCACACTTCATCAACAAGGGTACCTGCATAATGAACATTTGTATACCTAACCCCAAATTGTACCCCACATCTTTAAAATAAAAAAAATCTCCTAGGCAGAGACCTAATTGTCCAAATGGGCCTTAATGTAGG